ATCCACAACTGCCAGTTCCACGGCAGAATGATAGAGTGACAAACCTGAGACTAGAAGAGTTAAAACTGAATGATGACCACAGGTTCCTTCTGCTGGGCCAGAGTCAACCAGAGAGCCTGGTCCATCACCCCTCTTTGGGCTGGGATGTTACTACCTGTGACCCAGGATTCAGGCCCTTTTTTTTTTTTTTGCATCCTAGTCAGAAGTTTTCCACTCCAGAGGAGCCTGCAGGGAGCTCAGCACTTTCTGTTGGCTATACAGTGAGGTCTTGGTTTCCCCATGCAGCCTGAGCTTGTCTCTGAGGAATGCTTTCTGATCTTCTTGACATCCTCAGAAATGTTTACAATAAAGACTTTCAGAAATAAATGTTGAAGTTATATGCATACATAAATACTGAAACATTGAATAGAGAGCTGGTACCTTGCTTCTACTAATAAATCCTTTCTAGAAAGGAGACAGCCTCCAATTAATACCCTTAAAATTAAACTGTTCTGAAGTAGGTATGCAAAGATCTTCAGAAAACTGTAGTAGGACATTCCTTCTTTTATCCTCTTTGTGTATAGGTTCAGTTATTTAGAGAAAAACCTATAGCAAATAAAGATATTTATTTTTACTTGGTTGATGGTCAGATAAAAAACTACCACAGTCTTATGAAAATAGCTACAGTCCTGTAGACAAAGAAGGCTCAAGGCAAATTGGTTTCTTTAAGCCCTTGGTGTTTATGAGGAGATGCTGGATATTCTGTAATTTATTTGAAGGATAATATCAAGTAAAATATTCTGATTGAAAAAAAAACACCTCTATTTTTTAGTCTAAAATTGTAGGGTTTTTTCTGCAAGATTTTAATTTCATCTTAGTCTTCTGTGTACATTTTCAAGTGCTCTTTTACTAGACAAACCACCTTTTCTTCCCTTTTCCTTAGGGTGGTTAAGGACTGCAGCTTCTGACAAGTTAGGGAAGTCAAAACTCTGTTTCTATTTGTGTATGGGTCAGACTGAGGATTCTCTCAGGATTCCCAGAAATTTCAGTTAGCTTTTTTCAAAGCTGACCAAACTACAACAGAGTCTATCTGCAAACAGCTTGGACAAGAGTTCAGTGCTCCTTTCACACATAGCTTTATATGAGGAAAGATGAAAGCGGTGGAGATACAAGACAGTCCTTTGTATGGCTTCCAAAATATGACTATTTTCTGGTATACTAAGAGTGAAAACAAAAACTTGCTTGATTTCTATCTGCCTGGTTCAATAGTCTCATTTATAAAAGAGAAAAATGCACTCAATTAGTGAAATTCTATTATTTCCACAGATTTGCAGGATCTCAGTGCTGAAAACTGAACAAAAAACAATAGGTTATATTTTCTTCCATGTTGGAGTTCATAAAAAATTCACTGGTGTCGTATTTAGTAGATTAATCATTCCCCAGGGTTACACAACAGGGAAGTGATGAATGATGCTTTCAAACTTCTATCACAAAAACAAAGTTCCTTTTCACTATGTAGATTTAGTCCCATCCCTCTGCCAGCAGCAGTTTCAGGAAATGAATATTCTCCCTGTTTCAGCCAGTAATTTGTAAAATGTCTAAGGGCAGCATTTTAACTACATTTCAAAGTCACATCTTCAGCAGAGCTGCTGGGACGATTCCTTTACACCTTTACTGCTCTCTTAGAACCGGGAACCCAGTATTCAGGAAGAGAAAAATACAAACATGGTACATCTCTGAAACTGCATGGCATGCCAAAACAGGAACCTGGACATTTTACACAGCCTGAAGACCCTTTATTACATACCAATGTATATAATTATAAAATACACAGTTTAAAAGGACACTTGTCTTAAGGCCCCATGTAAGTTAAAACCTTAACCCAAGCTGGCTAATGTCAAGGTCAAAGGATCCCAGAGCTAAGTGGTGCAGGCTAAATAATCCCATTTGCTTTGCAGAGAAACGTGTCCCCAGAGCCAGTTTTACTCAAGTAAGTCAAGCAGGAGGATGGCATTCTCACTTACGCTCTTTCTATCTTTTTTTTAGGAAAAAATGATGCCCTGCATTGACACCACTGCAGCTCTGGGCCGGGGAAGTTACAGTGACAGGAGGTGGCCAAAGGCAGGTTTGGGTCAGACAAACAACTGTCCAGCCATGAGACAGACAAAACCCTAGGCTTTTTTGCAGCTTGGGTTTTTTTGTTTTTTGGTTGTTTTTTTGGTTGGTTGGTTGTTGTTTTTTTTGTTTTTTTTTTTTTTGTTTGTTTGTTTGTTTGTTTGTTTTTGTTTGGGTTTTTTTTTTTTTTTTTGGTGGTGGCAATAGTAGCTCAGAACATTTCTATGGGGTAAACTTTGAAAATATGCTCTGTTTCCATTTACTTACAAAGTTAACCTGCTTTATAGCACTCATATTGTAGCAGCAAAATAGAGCAGTCCATTCCACTTCAATTTCTTACCAGTTTTATTTTTACTTCAAGACCTCTTCAAAATTTGCAACATTTCACAGCCTAGATATTATTTATTAAAATACTAAGTATCTGCATAAACCCATCTGAAAAATAACCTCCAGATAATTACTGCCAAATTGTTAACAGAAATAACTGGACAGACAAGCACAAGATAACCACAAAGAAACCTCAGAACAGCAGTTAGGATGTTATTCACCCACAGTAAAAAACTTCTGATCCCCTCAGTCATGTGCTTGTTTGTTCCCCAAAAGGTGATCTGTATTTATTTCGTACTCTATTTTTGTTTTTTGATTTGTTTTGTTTTTTTTTTCCAGCTAGCAGACAGTTAACTATACATAGTCTGTATGCTTACACTCATTTCATTGCTACATGAAGCCAAACTCCACAGCACTAACATACAGCATTTTATAGCATTGCATTTTAATAGCTGGCTTTGTATAGCATGAAGGCAAATAATTGTATTGGGTTTAAGTGTTCTGCCTTCAGATGTAGTTTGCTGTTCTCATTCTGATACTGTGAAAGATAAATAAATGGATAACATCTTCCTTTCTCATATAGCATTTTACTTGTAAGCACCCCCTTCTTGGGCTCTAATCCTATCATACTTGTAAACAGAAACCTAGAAAAGCTTTTCACAGTTCAACATTCTGCTAAATGGTCAAAGAAATTGCAATCCTGCATGTAAACATACACTTTAATGACTACAAACCCTGCTTTCCCCAATCCAGGTGATCCGTTTGTAGAAAATAGTAATAAGTAATCTCTGCAATCTTCCTGGATTTAGAAAGGTTTCTTGCCAGCTTTGTGCCTTTTGCTTTTCCCTCTGAAAATCCTTTTCATTACCCATGTCCAGAGTCCCTGCTTCCGAGAGAGATTCATTTCTCTTTTTTTAAAAAAAGACCTGTTAGCTTAAACATTAGCGGAAACCTTATTTTAAAACTCAAAAAACCCTCTCCAAAACCCCCCCTGACGTGCAAGTATAGACCCTGCCAAGTGGCAGGGGCCGGCACTCCCCAGCCCCTCCGGGGGGTGGGGGGCACTGGGGCTGAGCTCTGCCCTCCCACCCTCCCCAAACCACCAACCCACAGGGAAAAAAACCTGCTTCTCCCCTAGCCCCTTCCCTCAGAGAGGAGCGGGAAATTAAGCTGCAATGGGGGGAAAGCTTGGAGAAAATGTGGCTTCCTCCTTTGACAATTATGGGGCTCAGGAGAAAAATTCCTGGTTGTGACAGTTGAAGCCAGTTCCCCTTTCCCCGCACTTGCCATCTGTGGTATTACTAAGCATTACAGAGCATTAAAAAAACCCCACATTTTATGAAAAGAACTGGGTTTATTAATTCTCAATTCAGCCACTCACCTTCATTTTAGTTGCTGAGCTTTTTGACTACAACTCAGCCTGATTCATCCAGGGTACATATTTGAAATAAATGGGTATGGAAAAAAACAGATGACAATGCACTTGGCTCTGGGAAACCAGGAGGAGAGGAAACGGCCTGCCCTGGCTGTCTTCATACTGCCCACAGGATCACACTAGCTGGGTGGGCTCATGTCCCTTTCCCTGGGACTACAAGGAAAGATTTCATGGGCATAGGATGGGATTCAGGGAATTACAGAACTGCTCAGATCTAACCTACAGGTTATAAGCAATGAATTTTAGTAACAGGCAAAACTTGTTGACCTGTGCTGGTGTATATCTGCCCACACACAGCACCCACCCTCTTACCTTACGAGCCTCCAGTTTCCCACTGCACTCACCTGTCCCATGACATACACAAAATCCCCTAGCCAGCCTACTGCCCCTCCCACCACCCTTTTATTCCCCTACATCCTCCTGCAGGCAGGTGGCATGCCTGGAAACATAAGGCAGCTGTGATGGGTTAAGGAAATTAAGAAGGGGGGCTGTGAACACCCCAGAAGAAGGAGAAGGAAACATCTCTGTGCCCTTTGCTTTTTCCATTACTTTCTAGGAAAGGCTGGTGGAATTTGGAGTTGGTAACTTCCTCATGACTGATGATTCCTGGCTAGAAGCCTGTGGCTTCTGGCACCTGGGTTACAAGTTCAGGCTGGCTGCAGTCTCAGCCTGATCTCTCGTGCCCTTTGGGGAACAAGTTCAACACCTGAAGCTCACAGCAGTGTGCTAGGCTGCTCCATGGGTTTTCTGCACCCCCAGTTCCTGGCGGGGATCTCCTTTGGTCCATCAGCAACATCTCCCAGGCCAGCACCCCTAAAAAATGCTGCCCTATTTCAGATAATCCCCCACCCAGTTTCGAGCTTGCAATGTTAAAATATCAGAAAGGAATAAACAAAATATTCAAAACCCCAGGAAATATAAAACATGAGTTTCATTATGCGGGTCCATGTAGTCAGCCTGAGTCTCAAATAAATACCTTACAGCTCTTTTCTACAAAACAGAATATTACAGTGTAACAAAATAAATAAATATCTATTATAAATAGTCCTTTTTTGTATTTCTCTTGGAGTGAGTCACAGCAGGTTTGCTGGGAAGCCCAAGGTGCTGTTGTAAGACGTTTCTCTCTCACACGTGTAGTGTGGGCGGCTGCTCAGGTGTTCAGTGGTGTGCCAGGGCTGGGGGGCACCACGGGAGCCCACCTATCTGTAGCTCCATACTGCCTACACTTCTTGGCCTTGGTACAGGCAGGAAGGACCTAACAGAAGAGAGGTTGTTGTTTTTTTTTTTTTCCTTCTTCAAAATCTATGGATGTTTTCAGTGTAAGGGTAAAGATCCTGGGTACTTGTGTTACCAAATGGGTCTTTGCACCACTTTGTATGAGTGAAGACTAAAGTTTTCCCCTGTCAACGCCTCCAGCAGGCTCCAGCTTGGACTTAGCGTCATGGTGCCCATGGGAGACGTAACCCATTTCCTCCTACTGCTTCTTTCTCTCCAAAACACTTATCAAAAGTCAGAGTACACGCTCCAGACATATCCCACACAAAACTGTGCTGCAATTTTCTGAAATGATGATACCTCACTCCATTTACCCCCGCCTCGAGGTTGCATCTTTTAGTCCCTGCATCAGGACAGCCTCGAAGGACAACCTCTTCCTCTAAGACCCCATTTTGTTTGAGACATGTCCCTGAAGTTGTTTCCTCTGCGAGCTGCACTGGCCATATCGGAGGGTGGTTATTTTAGGAGATGCAGAAGAACGGTAATAGGGTATGGCCACTGCTTGCACAACTATTTTGTGCAAAAATATAGTAACAGAGCAATGCTTCTCCCACAGCATGCCTTGTCACCGAGAAAGAGTGTTTTCTAGCTGTCATCACTACCGAGCACCTGTGGGCTTGGCAAAACACGTTCAGGTTTCCCCTTCCCCATCTGCTGCCACCCAGTCGTCTGGCGGGGGGCTAACCCCCTCGCCCCTCTCCAGCCTGGGTGCAGCCTGGGCTGGGCAGCACGCAGCCAGCTCTGGGGTGGCCGGGCAGAGCTGGGTCTGAGCGCCAAGCCCTGTGACTGGTGGGGGCGAGCCCTGCAGCACCCCAAGAAAAGGCAGACCTACCCAGCATGGCCAGGCTGGGTTTCTCTCTGGGTCACGTAGGTGCTTGAGGCAGCAACAGAGGAGGCAGGCGAGAAGGACTAGGGAAATCAGGGGGACCAGCACCCCCACTGCAATGGCGATGGCCGCTGCTGAGCTGCTGGCCGGACCTGTGGAGAAAGCAACGGGTACTCAGTTTGTGCATACAGAAAATAAACCAACCCCAAACTCATTTCAGACATTTCTCGGCCAGTCCCCATGGCAAGGCGGGGTGAACAGGGGCACTGGGAGCACATGCCAGCACACACCGACAGGCAGTGCCTGCCTGGGGTCGGATGCCATCGGGCTTGCGGCACCCAGCCCCTCCGAGGTACCCAAAGGTGGCACGTCTTGTTGGTGTGTCAGGCTACATGACAGGGAAACCCTGAGAGTCCTTGGCAGAGGCAGGGAGGCTGGGGGACATCCTGGTGTATAGGGGACCCAACAAGCAGCAAGACTGGATGCTCCCCAGCACCTCCTCCATCCCTCCCAAGCCCATCCCCAGCTGCTTTTCCAGGTGTCTTCCCCACCCTCTGCTCCCCCCAACCCTCTGAGGAATTTTCTGATCTACCCCAGGAGATGTTTCGTGGTCTCCTCCCCATTCCAGGGCAGGAGCAGGGTTACATACTGACCCTGCAGCAAGCTGTCCACAGGCAGGACCAGGGTCATGTTTAGAGAAGGGTGTTGGATCATGCAGGCAATGGGGTACTCCTGGAGGATTTTGGAGGGGGTATGGGTGAAATTGCTGATGACAGTCACAGTCTGGTTGCCAAGTTTGATGTGGTACTCCCTTGGTTTCTGCTGCAGGATGCTGGGAAGGAGCCAGGTGATTTTTGGAGCCGGTTTCCCTGTTGCTGAGCAGCTCAGCCCCACCACTTTCTCAGAGTCCTCAGCTTTGTCTGGACTGTGTATAAGCTTAGCCTCCACTCTGGGGTCTGAGATGGCTGTAAAACACAAAGTGACAAAATCCTTTACTTCATGCTCATGTTTGAGCAAAGAACATCTGCATTTACCATTATCTTGGAGGATAATCGTGATATCTAATCTTGCCTCCCTCCCCCCAAAGCCCCAGCTGTTACAAACATGAAAGTGATCAGGCAACACTCTGGAGATGAAGAACTTGGCAAAAACAAAGGACAAGAGGGTAAAGGCATCCTGTTTCAATTCTGTTATTAACAGCAGCACTGCAGCTTCCTAACTGAGAAGTGGTGATTATGGACAAGTGAAAAACAACAGGTAGTAAAACCATGAAACCACATGTCCTCCTCCCTCCGAAAGGGTTGAACTGTTTCAATGAGTCAAAATTCTTTTCTATTAAATGTATCTGCAGGATTAACTTTACAGCTGTTTGAGATATTTAGGCTTGTGGACCAAAGGACTGAAAGCATCTATTTATGCAAGACAGTAATAGTGAATTTTATGTGGTTATACCACAGGATTTCACCTGTGGAGGCTTTTGTGCTTGTACAACTTCCTTCCCTCTAGTGTCGGGTTTTGGGGATGTCATGGAACCCCTCAAAACCTTCATTAAATATAATTTCTTCTGAACTCCTTTCACCCTAAAAGATTTGTGGATGCTGTCACTCTGTGGATTTGTGGATGTTAGTCTTAGCAAGAAGGATGAACTACAGGCATCATTCATGCTTACTCACTCATGTGAAGCCTGCTTGTTGATTCCTATTTACACAAACTGTATTTACAAGGAATAAAAAAAGAAGTGCAGGAAGCTGTTTTCAACCTCGGTATAACTCCATGGGAGTTCTGAACACATAAGGACATGTCTATTCCCTGTGGAAAATCACCTATTTATTCCTTGGCTGTACAATCATACCATAATTTAGGCCAGAAAGGACCTCTGGAGGTCATCTAGTCCAAGCCCCTGCTCAGAACCAGTCTAATTAGTTCATTTTGCTCAGGCCAAGATCTCTAAAGGCATGCAGCTCCATTTGGGAGCTCAATCCACAGGTTTCTGTATGGCAGCTCACCAGCCTGCCTTCTACTTCAGTGCATGTGCTGATGGCACAGGGGTCTGAACCACAATCTACTTCTAGGTCCCTGTTTCTAAGAGTATTGCTTTTTTAAACTATTTAAGTGCAGTGGCAATTCTAGTTTCATTCAAGTTTGAGTTAATATGAATGCCCTCTGATCAAAAAAAGTATATATTACTATATTTAGTAGTACTACATATGTATATTACTATTTATATAACAAAAATAACAATGGTTAGCACAATATTTATGATGAAAATAGTTTTTGTCCCAACACTAACGACGATATCACTATCATTTGGTAATCCTACTTTTAAACAACAAAAAAATCCGTTTGTTCTTCTTAGGAAATTGATTCTTTTTCCTTCTGGGAGGTAAATAAAGATTTGCATATGAATGAGGTGTGGCAGACACTGAACGATCCTGTGAAAGGGGGAGAAACCTTGTGCCAGGTGCATAATGGCACCTATAACCTCCTGGTACAATTCCAGAAGCACATCAGGAGTTTGCCTGGGTGCTTCAAGCCATAACTGCCAGAGGGTGGAAGCAAGACATTGTATACTATCAGTTTTGTTTTGTTTTGTTTTGTTTTTTCTAATGGCCAGACCTCATTTATTTACTCTGGTTTTACCTGACTAGAAAAAAACAAAACAAAACAAAACAAATGAGTGTGTATTTCTCATTTTTTGCAGACAGAAACTCAAACCCCACAGAGTTGGTGAAACCGACTACTGTTGCTGTAAGAGCAACGAGAAAAGTGTGTAGGGGGATTTCAGCTGGAACTTCTTAAAATCTCCCACATACGAAAAGACAAGTATCACAAACAATTTATGTTTTGATTAATAAATGACCTCTGAACTTCTTCTTTCGCTCACGGGATGCATAAAAATAACACATCCACCCACAGGATTAACTTCAAATACTAGGTTGCAACATCCAAAAGCAGTAAAGGAAAGCTGTCACAGAGTTTTCCACTGAGGATGAGAAAAATTGCTGTGTTCTGGCAGAAACACATGCACTCCACATCTGCTGCTCTTCTGACTAGGCAGTTTTCTCTCTTCTCACATTGGACCCCAAAGAATGATTATCATGTGAAAGAAATCCTGCAGGGTTGAGCTTCCTATTAGCAAGTGTCTGTAATAGATGCACAGTCAAAACGTATGAGTGCTTGCTTTTGCAGTAAATTCCTGCTACTCTGTTAGCCTGTGCTCGCTGTTGGTGTTTGATGCATACACTTACAGTAACTGCTTCTTCTGCCTTTCATCAAAATATTTGTTTCCAGTGAAAAAGTACCCACAAGAGATGTGTTCAAGTACTTGCTTCAGTAGCTTTTGCATAGCAGCAATGCAAATATCCCCAAATTTGAGCTGCAGCAGTGTTCCCAAATATTTGAAAAAGGGACTTTCTAGTGAAGTACATCAGCTTTGCTTATCTGTAATGGTCTTCTGTAATTAAAGGGGGACTGTCAGGTCGTGATGAGCTTTTTATGTTTGAAGGCTTGACAGTGGTCTCAGAGAGACTGATAAAAAATTTTAGGAATTACAGTATGCCTTGTGATGACAGAGAGCCTTCTCTAACCATATGGGTGTTCACCAGCAACATTGTGCCTTGGTTTTTCTGTCTAAGAAATTGTGATGACATTTATCTTCTGTGCTCGAGACTTCCAGGTGAATGATGCCATCTACAGTGAAGGCAGAAGCTCTCCAAAGGCGGCCCAGCAAATGCCCTGGGAATTTTGTGACCCATCAAGTCTTACCCATTCTCGTGTGGCACATCCCCCTCTCTTTGTATCTGCTCACTCAATCCCCTTCCTGGGTTTCATTCTCATCCTCTCTGGTGATGGAGGTTGGGAAAACATTTCCAAAGCAAAATGGAGGAGGAAGGGGAGCACGCTGTTCAAAAGAGACCCGCCAAGCACACTTGAAACTCTTCTGTTCCAAAATGGGTTTTGCTACAGGATAAGAAATTTCTGTTTCTTCTTGGGTTTGCTGTTTTCAGCCAGGCATGTCTGAGATTCCGTCATACCTGTTTATTTTTACACAGTGTTGTATCCAGTTCTTACACAGTTTCACTTCCCCTTGCCATGCAGCAATGGTGCCCGTCCTGGAAGAGCCCCTCTTGTGAAGGCTGCTGTAATCGGGCAATTACCAGCTTGTAAATTCCCCGGCAGTCCCCTCTGGAGAGCAAAGACATGGCAGTGTTTCATTTTCATCTGGTGACTCTGGCTTGCTCACCTTGCCCTGAATCCCTGAGCCTTGGGAGATTCCTGCTGGCTTCACACTCCATCCTGGGGAGTCCTCTGGGCTTGTTCATACAAGTTGTTCCCATTGTTATGAGTTGGGGAATAAGGGAGGAAGACTGTGGCTTTTCAATAGCATTGCGTAAATTAGCTTCAATGAAACACACCGTATGTGAGCCAAAATCTTTTGTCACAGTGCTGAACATCAGTCTATACATGGTGGCCTTCCAGGCCGCTTTCGCTAAAGCACGGCCCAGGGAGGCCACGGTGACCCCTGTGAGCCAGCCCCTGGCAGGGGCCCACGAGCCCGCGCCGGCGCGGCCGGAGCAGAGGGCTCATGCCTGCCCGCCAGAAAAGTGAAACCCTTCTCAGTTGAGTCATTTTCGTCTGAGACGCAGGACGAGATGCTCGCAGGAGTGCGTGTAGCAGCAAGCTGCAGAAAAACTTTTTTTTTTTTAAAGTAGTGGTCTGCCAAAGTATGAATCATAGCCACAAGGCTGGTGATTTTGGGAAATATTTCCTCCGCTTGGATAAAAAACAAAACAACAAAACAAACCAAATCTAACTCTGTGTTTAGATTTACATGATAAAGAAGAATGGGACCCCTCTGCAAGGCACTTCCATATTTTCCTGTAATGTATAATCAGCGTTTACCCACTGAATGACTCAGGGCTCAGTGTTTTTAGGAACACCTTCCTCTTCCTATCTGAAATATTGAGTGAATTTCTCCTAATTTCTCTTTTCTGCACTAGGAGCTTTCCTGGGGAGAAGAAACAGAACTTTTGTTCCAAGCCTGCTTTTCCCTTGTATCTCCCTGCGCCCCACTTCCCCCTATTGCTTAAGTCTTCTTTCCCCTATAATCCACAGTCATATTTTTTTTCCACGCGGAGGACTCCTGGCATGTGGGCATATCTGTCTGTGTCTTTGTCAGCAGAAGGAACTAGGGATAGACAAAATACTCTGCAGGGGTCATACCACCAGCGGCAGGCCGCAGACACTGAAATTTTCCACATGGGACATGTTCTGTGGCCAACGTCCCCACAGCAGAATCACCAATGAGAAAGTCAGGAGCAACAGGCTGTCCTCAGGGCATGTTTAATGTCTCAGCTTTCTCACTGGCAGAAAACCAAGACCCTCCCTCAAAAAATAAACAGCTTTTTACTCTTGTTTCTTTTGAGTTCATCTATTTGCCTTTATTTCAGCTTGTACTTGCTAGTTGACAATTTCATATGGAGGTGTCGAATACTGCCACCTTGACTCATGCTTTGTTTTAACTCTCTTCTTGAATCTAATTGATGATGACCTGCACAAGATATTCATGTGGCAAAGCCCTCAAGCTGCGCTGTATTTCAGCCTCCTATTTTTTTTTTTTTGTAACCCTTTCCTGAGCCCAGCCTAAGTGCTATCATTTTTACTAGAGCTTCCAAATCAGCATCCAGATACTTTGGTCATGTGTATGCCTCTCTACCTTTTGAATACCTTGGATTTTTTTTAAGACCAAAGGCAGAGTAAGAAAACAGTGCCTGATGTCCAGGCTTAGGAGGTGAGAGCAGCAGTGTGGGGAAGCAGAGGAGCGCAGGGTTCATGGTTGTGGCAGGCCAGCTGTCAGCACAGCACATGGCCAGGGAAACTCGGAGGAAGTCATGGGCTACACGTCAGCGTTTGGATCTCACTGTTATTGACTTAAGGGGAAGAAAATTAAAGAACTGTTGAACGCTGGTTTCCCATCAGAGGTAAAACCAGAGAGAGAGGGAGAGCCGGAGAGGAAGCCAAGCCATCCTTCCCACAGCAATTTAGCAATGACCAGTGGTCAGGGAAGTTTTTTCCTGGGAAAAACGACTTGGTGGTCAGATGATGACAGCCAGTACGCGATTACGATGCCTTACCGTAAACCTTGAGACACATCCTGCCAGTGACAGCCCCTGAGGGAAACGTGTTGAAGATGCACTTGTAGCATCCTTCATCTTGGAGGGTGACTCCACGAAGGGAGATGGCAGAGGCTTGTAATTCACTGTGGGCAAAGCTCACGTGGCCGATATAGCCCTTCGCTATCTTTTGGCCATTCATCATACTATAAGTCGCTATGTTGTCTTCAGCCCCATCCGTCTCCTTCTGCCAGGTCACCTGTAGCACATCTTCTTTTGTGACCAACCGGCATGAAAAAGTAATGTTTCCTCCTGCCTGGACTGACTGGACCTTTCTGTGCATCACCTGCACGGAGCCTGGGGGAGAAGCAGGTCCTTCACTCAGCATTTCCCACCACCTTTCTGCAACCCACCCCCAGCAGACCCACCCCCCACCAGCCCCTCACCCTCACTCCTGAGCAGAGCAGCTCTGGAGGGTCTCTCTTCCCCTTCATCCAGGGAAAAAATGAAAACACAGCTTGAAAGAACTGCCTTGAGAGATTTGCTGGACTTGACACCCCCTCACAGAAAGCATCTCGCCAGCCTGATACCTGTACTGCAGACAGAGCCACCGAGAAGGACAGCTCTGGTGACTGATTTCTGTCTGCTAAGATTGTTATCCCACAGACACCCGTGGAGACGTTCCCTTAGCATCCAGCCATGGTGACAGCCACGCTGCTGTCGGTGCATTACTGCTCTCTGAGCCCTCCTGTGGCGCAGAGAGAAGAAAATCAGTAAAGCTGCTAAAAATTATTATGTGGATGCCCAGTTATCCATTGTGCATCCACACTTGTCAGAGACTGGCAAGAGAACAGAAAACCAGAAAGAAAAAGCAAGGTAGGGAAGACCAGAGGCAAACTGCACCCATCCTCCTATCTCAGGCTTCAGGCCATGCAGGTGGGAAGCAGCTGAGACCAGGCTGAAGGCCTGTGGATGGAAAACTTTCACAGCATAAATGTCATGGTGCTAGAGGTCTCCAGGGAAAAGGAAAACAAAAAAGACAGTCTCCTCTCCCAGTTCACAGACACATGTGGAAAAAATTCTAAGGGGACAGGCAAACAAAATGTATAGTCCTAGGTTTGACAGCTCAGCTTTACAGGCCTCTTAGGATAATAGTTTTTAAATTTTATTTCTGTACATCAGCATGGAAATGGAGATATCAGCAGGGACAGTTACAGCACTGAAAACATATAATTCAATTTACAGGAAAGGGAACTATCTTTGAAGGTTTTAAAGAGGAGTAAGGCTGGCTGCAGTGCCCAGAGGTACCCTTGTCTAACCCACCCGACACAGCTTTCTCAGGCTCTGCCCTCTCTGTGGCTGTGGCTGTGGCCCAGCAGATCTCTGCCGGAGACCAAGAAGCCAGCTGTGAAGCTGTGAACAGTCATTTTGCTTTTCAGAGCTCAGTGGTGCCATAGGCAGAATATAAACCATGACCATGGGAGCGAGTTTGAAGCAAATTCAGGCTTTTCTACAGGATTCTTAATTACAAAAACAAATGTAACACACCCATGCTTTTAGAGGCCTGAACAGGATGCCTACAAGCACCATATCCACCACGACAAATAGCTTTCTCCTGGCTAAAGCAAACCAGTGCTATACTCTGACCCAAATCCCAGCCACAACAGGAGAGGAAATCAAACTTTCATCAAATCAAAACAAACTGATGAAATCAATTCGTACAGGTCATTGGGGTCGTTTGGACATTTGCCTTGTTTATGATTTGCAAATTGCAATAAATTCGTGCATCTGTCTGCAGCTTATCAGTGCACTGGTGGTAAATTAGGGAGAGGATGCTGTCAACGCAACCAGCAGTGACATGCCTGAGGCCCCATGCGAGCAGTGCAGCTGCTTGCAGGGCCACAAGTGCCCTGTCACCCCTGGGCTCGCCCTGGGGGGGATGCCACCCGTGGGCTGCAGCACCCAGCACCACAGCGGCAGGCTGGCAGGGCCACCGAGGTCCCTGATGCCGTTACAGTAACGATACAGACAGACAGACAGACGAGGGATTTACCTGACGCAACGGTCCAGATGCTGGAGAGGAGCAGGCAAGCGACCATCATCTTAGCTGTGTGCTCAGCGAGACGAGCGAGCGACTGATCCATTGAGCACGGCTTCCCCTTTTTTATATACACTTCACTCTTACTCTAGGGACATTCCCCCTCCCTGCACATACGGTAAGAGGCACCTCATAAAAACCTCCTGCCCCCCCCCGGCACTCAGCTGAATAACAGAAATTTCAGGGGACATGACAACAATGTCAGAGCCAGAAACCGAAGATTTCCCAGCTGGGCTGCTAAATGGACAGGGGTAGCGGGTTATAAGGCTGGGGTTTTTACAAGTGCCTTTTCCATGAAGTTAGGTTTTTGCAAGTGCCTAAATGCAAGCCCAGATTTCTAAACTGGTTGAGCACCTAATGACTGGGGGGGCAGGAGGAAAGGCCACCCTGGCCCTGACCTGAGCTCAGGGAAAGGAGCTCAAGGTCAATAGTCATGCTGAAATGAGTAGTACAAATATCCCCAACATGTAACTTAGAGGACCCAGTTAGGGGTCTGCACCCCATGTGGAAATCAGGGGAGACCCAGGATCAGGATGCTGCTGATGCTGTAACGCAACTCCTTTTCCAGGCAAGGAGACCAGAGCAAGCCAAGCGCCCAGCCCAGGGCCTCAGGGAAAAAGCAGAGCCTTGGTCTCCCCTCTCCTCCACTGAAGTTGCCCCCATCTCCACAGGTACCTGCTCCTTTCCCAGCCCTGTCCCTCGGAAAGACAGGGCTGCCATCCCACAAGCATACCCCTTCTTCTCTGCCCTCGCTTGAGACGACACAAAAATAGCTCACAAAGCCATTTTGAGTCATCGTTTTTGTGCCTTTTTTGCTTTGTCATTTTTACATCTTTATGTCTCTTTTTCTGTCAGCTGTGATCACGTTGCAAAACCAGCAAAACCTTCAGCCCACGGGTTGCTCATGCACCACGTGGGAGGGCAACCAGCCAACGAGGTCTCATTTGCTAATCAAACTTGTATGTGTAAACTCTGTTTCATGTTTCTGCTTTCTGATAAGATGGCTTACATTTGTACAAAGTCTTACTGCTCCAAATGACTATGATTACATTAAAAATGTTTTCTTCTCTCAGATTGATGCACAAATTAACCTTGAGTCATGCAAATAGGCTGGGGGAAGCCAATGGGTCCAAATCAGAACGTGACAAAAAAAAATTCTTAGACATGCTTACTGAAACACAGTTCCTTCTCTCCTACCAAGTGGTAAATAATTATCCCAAAATAGAAACAGCTCAAGTACCTGTATTCCTCTAAAGAAACATTTTAGATGTGCTTTTGAGTAGGTTGAATAATTCATTCCCATCACTCTGCAAACTGTGATTGTTTCACACTATTGTCTTTTTTCCTTTGAGGTATCACATCTCATTTTCCTTTACTTATTTTCATAGTTGCCTTTTTTTTGCAAGATTTCTGGAAGGGCATTGTGGTCTGACCAAAATGTGAGATCAATGAAAAACAGTTCTCATGGGGTTTGCCAGACCATTTTACAGCTATTTAAGCAATGCAAATAGCTCTAACAGGCTCTGGACAAAGTCAGAGGGAAAACTACCAGCTCTGAAATGGAGATTCACAAGCAAACATTTAATTTCTGATTTTTAGCCTCAGAACTTCCAAACATGAAAAAATAATTTGAAGATTTGCTGAAACCACACCCTTTTGCACCAAAGCCTCCCAGCAGGGTGCGAGTGACCTATGCAAAGATTAATTCCAGGCTTTTTTGGTGTCCTCAACTTAGCTCTGCTACAATTTTGAAACAAAATATTAACCGAAGAATTTTCCACAAGCTTGCAGGCACTGTTGATGTAGTCCTCATAGCTGAACTTCACCACTTAGTGGTCATAAAAGGAACTGCACTTGACTTTAAAAAAGGACTGACAGCCCAGGTGATGTGTTTTAATGTTCATAGGAAATGTTCTTGTCAGCTTTATCCATTGTATTTTTACCAGAAATACTCTAATCTTCCAAAGAAACAACCCTGAAAATCCATGTGCTGCTACAGCAAGCACCTTCCAGTAAAGAGCAAACCTTCAGTCTCAGCAACATCCAAGCAAAGTATAGAGATGGCTATTGCGGTTAGAAAAAAGTATTGACTTTAAATTGTTTACAGCATCCTCCACCTGGTGATAAAGAACCACGTACGCTGGCTGCTCCTTCCAGGATTTGCCTCCCCCATGACAGCTCCTGACACCACAGAGAATCCTGGCATGGACCCCAACACCACCCCCCAGCCTACGTGTTGCGTCTCTGCATGCACATCCACCTGCTACAGCATCTCTTTCTGACACCCCCGCCCGCTTCCTCCAGGGTCCACCCAACATCAGCAGCTGATTCATTACTTTAAACATAAGGCAGGCACGAATGTGAGGTCCACCCATTAACCCCACCACTTATTTCGATTTTGTGAGTGTATATTTAAGTGCACTTATTCAGACAGTTCCCAACCTGTTTGTCTTTGCATAGACTTTTGGTGGATTACAGCCCTCCTCCTTGCTTGGCAATCAGACCTCATGCTCTCCTGCTTCAGCTGCACAGCAGATTTGTTTCTGAGAATGGCACACTATGACTAAGCTTCAGCACTTTCCAAAGCCAGTGTAAGCTTGGGAATAAATTAGACAGAAGATAGTTCTGCAACCACTGCTTGAAAAATACAGTGATTCATGCTCTTCCCTTCCTTTCTGCTGCACTAGGATGGTCTCTCTAGTTCCCAGTAAGGCAAAAAAGGGCATACAAGAATTAACTGCACAGTCACTAAATGACATTTCCACACAGCCCAAGTGACTAATGATATTGATAAATCACATGGTTGAACTTTTGGAAAACGTTACTGATGGGAGCCACTCAGGCACAATTGTAATCTAAACCAATTTTTTGTCAACCCTCAACCCAAAACATTGGTTTGTCAACCATCCAAACCCAGGTTAACAAGCAGGTAGCTGCCTACCTTGTCAGCAGGATTCAGTGCTGCCTCTCAAGGTGTTGCCTGTAAATAGAACAAAACTCAGGGAGATGGTTTCATCCCTGCTGAATTGTAGTGACTTTTGGCGGTTGGTCCATCAGTACCAGCCGTAGGTGCCACTATTGGGAAGCAGCTTGTCAAATGCAGTTGAACAGGCCTAGCACTTTATAACATGTTCATAAATAATGCCTGCCTACAGCAAATCCCTCTACATCTCAGCTGGATTTGGAGAGCTGCCGTACACTGGGGCAAAGACAGTAGCTGCACCTACTGGCGTACGCTCCAGCCTGTGTGGCTGCACCGGGGAGGGCTGCAGCAGGACCTGCAGTCAGCAGCCAAGGGCTCCTGCAGGACCAGGTGATGCTCATTTGGGCAGGGTTACGGACAAAGCGTCACGTTTGGGCACAAGTTTTAGATCAAACAGCACAAGGGTCGTTTGTAGGCAGCCATAGCTGTTCATCCTCGGTCATGTTCGACTTGGAAGTATTTGATCTGTGATCTCTTCCCAAACTGGGCTCCCTCCCTCTGCTACCACACTGCTGTCAGCTGCAGTAAAGGGCTGAAAGTTGCAGCTACCAGCACTGAAATCTGGTGTGGGACTCCCCAGCAAAGTGCATAAGAGAAACAAAGGAAGTGGGCTACTTAGCTGAGATCTAGTTGGTGGTGGTGTACATCTATCTGCAAAACCACGTGTTACCGGGGGACAGCACATGTTGTGAAACTGTCCAGTTAATGACCTGACACTTCTTACCTCTGTGTTCTGATGAAATTGTTGCAGACACCCAAGTCTGTACAGAGATCTTTTTTTTTTTTCCCCCCTCTTTTCTGGCAATGTACCACAATTACAATGTGTGAATTAAAACATACTTCCTGAACCATCAGCCCTGCAAATTGTAATTCTTGTTCTACTATTTTTCTTCTTCCTTGTAGTTCAAGGGGAAGAAAAAGGAGTAAAAAAAGACAAAAAGGAGAGGAGGAAGCAAAACCAAATTGCATTGGAAAGCCTCAGTAGCAAAGGCTGTGCTTCCTCAGGGTTTAAAGTGTTCATTTTTTACCATTTGGTTTGTCACACCATTTCTCAGAAGAGCAAGGTGGCCTATTGTGTGGTTTCCTCTTGTCAAGAGCACCCCAAGTTGCTATTTCAGTCGAGGGATCCTAGAGGGAGTCCATACTGCAACCTGCTAGTCACTTCATGGAGACCACTAGCACCAGCACGACCTTGACAGCCCCAGCACCCCAGGAAGCCACGTCACTCATCCATTCCTCCCCTCTTCCTCCCCCACAGCCAAGGCGTCAGTGCTTGTCTGTGGTGGAGGCTTTGGGTGCCTTTTTAGGTGCACAATATCTGGGTGCTGCGTACACTCACAGTGTGAGAGGTAATAAGCCTCTTTGCTCCCTGAGTTTCGCTCTGTAACTCAGCCAGTACAGAAAACAATTCAGCCAGCAGGGAAATTACTGGCTACTCAAGGGTGCAGAGATCCAGCAGAAGGATGGGAAACTGCCTACCAAAAATAAGGTAGGTTCAATGTAATTTTATTTTTAATTACTAAGCAAGAGGGCTAAGAGAATGATATTATTAAAAATAGAACAAATGATACCTGCAATGAATCAGCCTTAAGGGACCATGTAATGCCTCCATGAGGAGTCTTTTGATTAAACAAAGATAATTTAGTAATCAAATTAAAATGAACAATATAGTTCTTGGTATGTCAAAAAGTATTGCCTCAGGATGATTTTGAGGGAGGTGACTTCATCCATAGGCTGCCAGCACTGTCAGCCTGCTGAAGGGAAGGTGTTACAGGTGAGGAACACAAGGGGCAGAGAGTACTTGCCACCTGCTCCAAGTTTCCAGGCAGGAGAACTACACTTGGGGGTTCACATTGCTATCTACCTGTTGGCACTGTGTCTCATAAAGACAAGCTTTTATATACACTATATAGAAATAGATGAAACTATACAATATATTTAAATGCCGTACCTGGGATATGTAAGTATACTGCAGTTATGTACAACAGTGGTTGGGAATAGATTGTCTCCTAAGGAGCTGTGAAGACAGGAGGACGCTCAGCAGGAGCCTCCTAGGACCAGCGAGTTGCCTTCGGTGC